CAATCCCCGGCCCCCTCCCCTTCACCCTCTCTCCGCAGGCGGGCCGAGCCGGAACGCTTTGAAACGGGACACCGGCGAAAAATCAACGGCCATTGCGCACCGGTGTGCGACCCAACTGGACTCGAGGCGATAGTCAGGCCAAAACGAGTCTTCTGCCTTCTACTGCTGTCGGGTCGACAGAAACGGGCTTGTGTATAGAATCTCGCTGATGCTTATTGTTGCTTAAAAGCGGTCTACGGTGTATGAAGAGCAAACAAAGGATTACAGGCCAAAGCCTGAAAAAGGGGGTTCTGCAGGGCACAAAACGGGGGAAAAAATAAACTGTAAAAAATTGCAGCAGTGTATTGAGTTCACTGACAGCAGCACCGCTCGCTCGACACCTACGAGGCTGCCGCCGCTGTACGCCGCCTCCTGTAAAGTGCACACATGGCCGACGGGCCGTAAGCGGAAACTGGAAATAGTAACAAAGTGTCAGAAAATGGACGGTGGGGCGCGGCGGGGCATTCAAATGAAGCAGTCGGCTGGTTGGCTGCCGACGCACACGGGCCCAGCCATGGTGCGGCGGGAGCGGGGAGGGGGGCAAGCCAGACTGGGGGCTTTTCCATCAGAATTTTTATTCTAATCGACTCGATTCCTATTCCAATCGGATTCCACGGGGGCCCCTGCTGCAGCCAGCCAGCCTGGCTGCCAGCTCTGGCTGGGCGGCGTTTAATAAACTACAAGAGCACTGAGCGCGTTAGGGCCCCTCCCACTTGCTTCGCACACCAATTCTCTCTCACGTCTCTCTCACTCTCTCTCTCTCTCTTTCTCTCTTTGCTTCCTCTCCCTCCTGTAGCAGCAGCCGCAGCAGACTCAATAAAAGGAATTGATTCCATCGATTCAATGAAAGAAAAAGCCCTGCAATCCCTTAAGCCCCCTTTCCTCCCCCTGGCCCCGTCCTCTCGGCCAGCCCCTGCGCGTCACTTTCGCCTATCTCCCCCCTGCCAGCCCAGCCTCGGCCCGCCCCTTACTTAGCTCGCACGCACACCAACACACACGCACACACACACATCTCGAGGTGGATGGATAGCTGGATGAATCGCCGAACCCGTGGAAGCCTTTCTAACAACAAACACTAATAATTTAGCGAGTTTGAAAAACCGGCTTCGCGGGAAGGTTGGCTCAACCTTCTGTTCTGCCTCGGCTTTTAGCGGGAAATAATTGCCAGCCTCCGAGATAACAGGCTCCTGCGACCGATCGGGAGATGACACGGCGCAGCTCCACGTGTTCTAGGGGCGTTCTAGGAACGTCCTCGTGTCTAGGATCCGTCTAGAGTCTTCCAGGAACGTTATGGCACTGGTCTCTGGAGAGG